AAAAAAAAAAAAAAAAAAAAGAACCACCAAAATGTTAGAAATAAATGTTACATGCTTATTTCTCACTAATTTGCATAGTGGTAAATTAGGTAAGGGTGCATACTATACAAATATTTGCTCACACACCGGAGCCCTTCTAGAATTTATTTAACTGCCAACAGCACTCAGCATAGAGCTCTGCATTTAAAATTTGATTAATACTTATGTGGTCAGTTAAACTAAAGGTCTGCTCACTGGATAGAAGTTGAAATATAATCTTACAATGCCAAATTATTATGCATTAGTTGCTATGTCTTTGCTTTTATGACATATGATTTGTCATACCAGAAATTTATTTGAGGCCTCACCCAAACCTTCTAATTTTAAGGATGTTCCCCTGGAGAAAATAAGGCATATTACATTCTGCCTTATGATACCATTCGTGGGAATATATTGTGAAAAAAAATGGAACTGCCTCTAAATTAGTTTACCTAATATTAGGAATTTTATCAGCAAAAAATAATTTAAATAACAGTAAACAATAAAAAAGTGTTCGTGGCATGCTCTGGTTTCTTCTTTGGAAGTTAAGCTTCTAAGAAGAGCACAATACTTAAAAAGAAAGCCTCTTTAAATTAAATAACATTAATTTCGCTGAGAATGAGAGAGGTGATGAATGTATACAAAACACAGATACCTTTATGTATTTCAGTTTTGCATCCTCTCTGAGTTACATCTGATTGTCTAAACTATCAACTCTAGTGACGTATTTACAGGACCCTAGAACGTGGAACTACTAAACTGCCTTCTAAGTTGATGGACAGTATTCTAGTTGTACAAATTTATAAGTAGATAAGGTCTGGAAGTAGTCAGTGGCTTCCAACGTGAATTTTACTCTCCTTGGCAAAGGCCTGTGCTGCATACTTCTGCAGAAAAAGGCAACATGCCAGAAATACTCACCACAAGGGACTAGTCTATGCGATAGGGCTTCTGGTAGGTGGCCCAGCTTCCTGATGAGACCATAGCCTTGCTTAACCTCCACACCACTTACCTGGTTCTCTAATTCTCTTACTTTTCTTTTAGTTTTTTTTTAACTGTACTTTAAAACTATTGTAGGTTTCTAAACATGTCCTTGATAATCTAGTCCAATGTATAACTTCTTTTAGTAAAGATGTTGATAATCTCTAGTGAATCATCCTTCTACAAATTAAGGTTTACCTGCTTACTTATTTATTTGGGTTTCAGTTTTACCATTCTGTATACTGTAAAGTCTTAGCCAGTGCCTCTAAACTTTACAAGTCATCTAGGTTTGCTCATCTTATGGTTTTTCCAGAAAGCTGACAGGTTACCAGCTTAATAAATTCAGCTTAAGGTCTAAATTGTGAACAAGCGGAGTCTGAATGGTGATAGGTCACTCGTCAGTTCAGTATAATCCGACTGACTTTGTCTTCTGTCTTACCAGAGGAGATTTAATGCCATCTCATAATTTAGAAGATGCAAGCTTACTGAAAACCAGATATTTTTCTTGTGACATGTTGTATTATTGTACTTTCTATGGTTTTGACAGTTTCTACAACTATTGAATAAATGTGTGACAACTGAATGCAGCAGAACATTTTCAAGATTTAAAAAACATTAATATAATACTCAAAATGTTTTGTGAACCCTAAACAGTCACTAGAATGGAAATAGTATCTTAATAGTAATTCCTATAAGCCATATATCAGCAAAGAATGGAAAAGGTCTTAGCAAGTCTGAAAGAAAAATATACTAATGTAAATACAATTCTACAGGTAGTACATTGTAAATGCTGAGTTTCTAAATAGAGAGCATTGTCTACAATTATACTTCATCTGGTTTTTGTCAAAGTCTTTTAAAAGGTCTAACCAAAGACTGAATAAAATTAGGCACCTCTTTGGGGTATTTAATATCATTAAGTTAGAATTCAAGTATTATTAAATCCTAAAACCCAAAGTTACTTCTTTGTTGTAAGGGAATAAAAGCTAGTAAGTTAAAAAACATCCCAAAACTAAAAAATCTTCCAGATTTATATGGTAGCCATTGATTACTCAGTAACCTAGACATACAGTATGGTTTAAAACAATAAAATAATAGAATCATAAAGCCATAACACATCACATAACTCATACTCACCACAACTTTCCCTTTGTGGGCTTTCACGGTTGCTCCAAACCATTGATTTGATTTAAATTCTATAGGTTCTTTAGTTCCATTAACTCTGATCTTTCTGTTGTCTGACAAGGAGGATATGAATTATTAATAGTTTGTAAAAAATGGCAACCAGATAAATTACACAGCGATAAATTTCTGCATTTAACATACTAAAAGAATGAATACCATTCTTTTTAAACTTGTCCATAAAATTGATAAAGGGTAAATATTTCCAAGAGCCAGAATTACCCTAATACCAAAGCCTGACAAGGATGTTATAAGAAAATTATAGGCTGACATTTCTGGTGAGCATAGAGGAAAAACTCCTCAAAGAAAAAACACTAGCAACCTGAATTCAGTAGCACAGTAAAAGGAGCTTTCACCATGATCAAGGGAGATGCAAGGGTGGTTCAACCAAGGCAAAACAATCACCATGATTCATCGCATCAACAGAATAAAGAACAGAACACATATGATCATTCTGATAGGTAGTAAAAAAGCACTTGATAATGCTGAGTATCCTTTCATGAAAATATTTAAGAAATTAGGTATAGAAGGAACATACCTCTATACAATAAGGCCATATTTCACAAGCCCACAGTTAATATCATACTTAATTGTGGAAAGTTGAAATCTATTCCTCTAAGATCGGGAATCAGACAGTGATCCTCATTCTCATCACTTCCACCCAACCTAATATTGGAAGTCCTAATCAAAGAAATGAGCAAGAAAAAGAAATAAGAGACATCTAAATCAGACAGGAAGAAGTCTATATTTGCATATGACATGGTCTTATTATAGAACACCCTAAAAACTCCATAAAAACTATTCAAAATAATAAATTTGGTAAAGCTACTGAACACAAAATCAACTTATAAAAATCAATGACACTTCCATACACCAACAATGAACTATCTGAAAAGGAAATCAAAAAACCGTTACCATTTACAATAACAATACTTTGGAATAAATTTAACCAAAGAATTGAAAGATTTGTATATTGAAAAACCATAAACATTGATGTAAGAAATTAAGACACAAATAAATAAAAAGATATAATGGGTTCGTGGATTGAAAAATTTATATTGGTAGAATGTTCATGCTACCCAAAAGGATCTAGAGATTTCATACAATCTTCATTAAACTCTCCCAGTTCTTGCATGTGGTCTTGCTTGCACCCTTCCCTGATGAACAGAGCGGTAGCTGGGGGATATTAGATGTGGTCTCCCTTCAGGTCCAGGGGATGAGGACGCTGTCCTCATCACATACCAGCTCGTGCCCAATACTATTTTGCCTGGCATAGGAGGGGACTCAGTGCTTGTCCTCCAACACAGCTTCTGTGGCTGACTATTACACTGCACAACTGTTTCTGACTATTAAATGCTGTTGTACTCTGAAAAATCTTTATTAAAATTTCAGTGACATTCTAGACAGAAAGAGAAAAATAATCCTAAAATTTTTATTGACCCACAAGAGACCCTAAATAGCGAAGGCAATCTAAAACAAAAAGATAAAAGCTAGAGGCACCACACTACATTATTTTAAAATGCACTATACTACAAAGGTATAGTAATCAAAGTTCTAGTATTCAAAACAGCACAGTACTGGCAAAACATCAGGCACATGGACCAATGGAATGCTATAGAGAGCTCAGAAATAAATTAATGCACTCATATTTGATTGATCTTCAACAAAGTGTAAAGGACACACAAAGGTGAAGAGATAGTCTCGTCAATAAATTGTGTTAGGACAACTGTATATCCATATGCAGAAGAAAATACTTGACCCTAACCTAAGTCCAGATACAAAACTCAACTCAAAATGTATTAAAGGCTTAAATGTAAGACCTAAAGCCAAACTACTAGAAGAAAACAAAGGAAAAGGTTTTTTGTTATTGGATTTGGCAAAAGCTTTTTGGATCTGACTCCATAATCACAGGCATCAAAAGCAAAAATAGGCAAATGGGATTGACTCTAGAATCTTCTGCAAAGGAAAGAGTCAACATAGTGAAGAAACAACCTATGTGATGAAAGAAAATATTTGTAAACTCTTCATCAGTTAAAGGGCTCTAAAATATATTAAAAGCATTTCAAACTCAATAGCAAGAAAACAGCCCAATTAAAAACTAAGCAAAAGACATGAATAGATAGAACAAGAGAAGAAATGCAAATAGCTATCAGAAAAATGCTAAAAATACTCAGCATTACTAATCATCAGAAAAATGCAAATCAAAATCACAATGAGATATATCACCTCACCTCGGTGAGAATGGCTATTCCTAAAAAGTCTAAAGATAAAAATGGTGGTGGTGATGTAGAGGAAAGAGAACTTTCACATGCTATTTATGAGAATGTAAATTATTACAGCAATTACAAAATAACAGAATGAAGGTTATTCAAAAAATGAAAACAAGAACTACCGCTGATCCATCAGTTCCACTTCTGAGTGTATAACCAGAGAAAATGAAGTCAGTATATTGCGCAGACATCCAATTTCATATTTGTTGCTTCATTATTCACAATAGCCAAGATACAAGACCATCTTAAGTTTCCATCAACAGATAAATGTATAAAGAAAATTAGCTTGGTAAAAGAAGGCAATTCTATAATTTATGATAACATGGATGAACCTGAAGCACATTATATTAGTAACATAAGCCAGGCACAAGAAAAGGACAATTAGTGGGTGATCTTATTTATATGCAGAATGCAAAAGAGTTGAACTTCAAGAGAGAGAGTAGAATGATGGTTAGTTACCCTAGGCTACAGGAGAGTTGGAGGATGGGGAGATATTGGCCAATAGATAAAAAGCTTCAGTTAGAGGAATAAGTTCTGGAGATCTGTTGTATAGCATGATGATAGCAGTTAATAATAATTCATTGTATACTTGAAAATTTCTTTTTAAAAAAGTAGATTTTAACTGTTCTAACCATGAGAAAAAGGTAGGTTGATGTATTAATTAGCATGATTTAATCATTCCATAATGTTCACAGATATTAAAACATCACATTGCATACCAGAAGTATGTACAGTTGTTATTTGTCAATTTAAAAATACTTGAAAACCAATTTTTATACACAGGGAGATTTCTTTTTGTGATCAAGCCTAAGCTACAAGCTGACCTGCCTTAGACAAACACAAAGTCAAAATATATACCTGCCATTTCACAAGTTAAAAAAGCAGCATTTTCTTATGTTTTACATTTCAGAGGTAACCATAGACTAAACTTAATGCAGACTCTGATAGTCTTGAATCTACATTTCAGTCACGTATTCATTGGTTTCAGAGAGGAGACCCGATAATTATAACTGCTTGAAAGAATTCTGAATCTTTCCCAATAGTGAAACACATTAAGATGCTGCTGGTCCAAAAAGCACATTTCTCAGCATTCATTACCAGAACCAACATGAAGGCCTCCAAGGTCTTGGCTCTTATGGGACTAACATGTGTCCATGCAGCCACCGTAGATAACGCCCCACCACAGTTTTTCACACACTTTGCAGATGTCAGCAAGAGAGGGGCCAGCTGGGGAGAAACTCAACCCAATTATACCACACTTCAGATCCTAATCAAAAGCAGAGCTCTTTTTGTTTCCCTGTTGGTTACCCAGTGCACTAACTTCCCACGTGGCTCTAACTTTTCTGTCCTAACAACTTCATCAGTTATAACAGCCAATGAACTTCCAAGGACATTTGTCCCAGGCATCTTATTTGTATGTATTTCCTTTTGTAAGTATTCTATGTTTCTTTCTTGACTAATAAATACATTACAAAATGAACGTTTAACTCCTATTAGGTAAGGCCAAAATAAACATGTGATTAAAGTTTCAATTAAATTTGCTTATGATTACAGGCTTCTAAAAATTACTTATCCTCAAGCTAAAATTTACATTTTGACATGTTAGGGGAAAATCTTGAATTTCTCTCTTAAAAATCATAATGCTTTTGATGTTTCTGGACTTTGAAAAAACAAAACAAGTTCTGGAAATCTTCACCCAAAGTGCACACAACTGGCAAAGAATTAGAGAAGCTGTACAGCTTACAGCCTGATAAGGAAAATATAAACATTTCTATTTGCGTCTAGGCAGCTGGGGTGCTTATAGAACTCAGAGCCGAAGGATCTTGCCACCACAAACTGGGTGACCTTGGCCAATTCATTTAATCTTCTGAAATTTTACCTTCTTCTATAAAGTGAGGCTGAGAATGCCTTCTCCACACCTCCTTAGTATATAGTCAAGTCACTAAGATCACATCAGAGAAATGAGTGTGACTGTTCTTGATAAACTGGAAAGTCCCAAAAAACAGAAATCGTACAGCAGTACAATTGAAGGTCCACTAAAAGTCTCTTAATTAGAAACCTGGAAACTCCACCTTCGTCTAAGAATCGGAAGAACTTCACAGACACACAAGTGTGACAGGTTATTATTAGCGATTTGTGGCACTCAGGAATGGAACTGGTGATATAGTTCATGAGACTATCAATGTGGCTTTGATTAAGCATGGGGAAAAGTACTATAGTGAATTTGAAATTTCTAAACTACTAAAAGCACCATGAAAAGAAAACTAGAACCTCAAAAGTTCAAACACAGTTAAGGAGATCCCAAAAGAACTTAAATTTTAAGTGTAGGCTTCTGTGAGGAAGAAAATGAACTCTGGGGTAAAACTCTGCCAGTTCCAAGCTGATCCTTGCTTTGCTAGGTTAAATGACACAGTTCTCTTAATTCTGCCTGAATGGTTCCCAAAGAATCTTTTCTGCTACCAGAGATTGAGCAGTGTACTAACTTCACTAAATGTGAACTGTGGTTCTTTTAAGTAAGAACATTTTTTTCCTGGATGAAGAGTACAAATGAATGGACTGCATTAAGTTCATATCCAGCCCAAGGGGTATAACAGAAAAGCATTCCAGTGACCCAGGTCTCTTACAAAAATGAATTTTGATGTAGGTGTATCATCCCATCACTCATCCTTTAAATCAACAGAAGATCTTTTAAAATACTGTTTATTACTTTATACAGTGTTTAAAATGTTCTGCCTTTAAATCTAACATTGCAATAATGTCAAGTTTCAGATAAGTCAGATAGATTT